GTCCTTTTTAGTTTAATCAGTCTGCATGCAAATTTTCACAGGAACTACTACAGATGCACCTCAGCTGGCTGTCCTGTTCGGAAGCACATCGAGGGGGCCGTTGATAACACAAATGCTGTAGTAATAACATACAAGGGAGTGCACGATCACGACACACCAGTTCCTAGAAAGCGTGATGGCCCAAAGAGTAGTGTGGTTGCTGATTCTCCTATTATCCCGGACAATATGCTGTACAAGGGAAACCAGTCTCATAATGGTCAAACCAAGTGGTCGGTGGACAAAGGAGATGAATTGATGGGTGAGCCCCTCAAGGTGGTTGGTGAGAAAGCATCTGAGCCGGCGAGAACACTCGTGGGCATTGGGATTCAGATCAAGCCTTGCTGAACTCGGTTTTCCCTAATATTTATCTTTTAGTTATTTATTCAAACTATTTCCCCTTTTTGTTTTCTTTCTTTTTTTCTTTTTATTTTTTAATGTGATGTGATATTTAATTGTTGTAGTTTGAGGTTAGTTTTAGTTTGTATGGTACTTCTGTATCGAAAACCTTGTAACAATAATAACACTAAAAAAGTAAGGTAAACACTTGATTGTAATGGTAGTTTGTAATGTGATTGGCTGTAACTATGAAATGAGCCGTTTAACCCTTGATTGTAATTGCAGTTTGTACTGTGACTGGCTGTAACCATGAAATGAGCCATTTTTCATGTGAGATGTAGCATACCCAACTCGGTCCTGAATCGGGGCTCTCATATAGCTCGGTTCTAGATCAGAGCTCCATCAGCTCGAGTTAGAGAAATGGGTTGGGTAGGTCGAGGTGGGTCCCTAACAAATTGGAGGTCGAGTTAGCGACATGGTGCCTAGGTGTCCTAAGTCCCTAACTAGCGAGCTGGTTTGGCTCTAAGGGTGGCCTCCTGCCTAATCAGGGTCGACTCAGTCACTCAGTGACCCGATGGAGACGTTAGACGCGGGACCTCTAATGAATGATATGTGGATCCTAAGGACTTAGGAGATATGGAAGGAAATCTAGTCTAAGAAGGTTAGTGTATGCCTGATTTCCTTAGAATGATAGAAATCTTGGGGGAATAAGATGAATGTTTGTTTATAAAAGATGTATGGTCATCGTAAAATGTTGCGTGCTATTCACATATACATTATACTAACGTTACAGAGGGTCTGACTTGATCTAAGGCTCTACGGAAATACTCCCGACGTAGAGCTGGTTTGGCTCTAAAGGGTGACCTCAGGGTCGACCCAGCAACCTGATGGAGACGTTAGACATGGGACATCTAATGAATGTATGATTTTGAGGATCATAAGGATTTAGGAGATATGGAAGGAAATCTAGTTTAAGAAAGTTTATACATGCCTAGTTTTCTTATAAGGATAGAGTTCTTGGGGGAATAAGACAACTATTTTCTTATAAAAGCAAATATATGGTCATCATCAACCGTTACATTCTATTCATCATATATACATTATATTATACATCAAAGAGGGTCTAGCGTGATCATCGGAGGTTCTACGTCAGGAATCCTCTTGACGCTTTTTTAGGTACTCGGACAAGGAGGTCAAGCCAGATTCAGAAATCCAAAGAGAATAAGTCATTTAAACCGGAATTATTTGGTAGATCCCTATCAAATTGTCGTCGTTTGTGGGAAGACTCAGTTTTATTACAGTATAAGTTGGACTACGTTATTTCACAAATCGTACGAAGTAGCCACAATAATCAATCGCGAAGAGGAGAAGATCCCACACAAAGTGAGGTTATGACGACACTTGGCCACTTGGCTAGGAAAGCGACCTTCGGGATTTGGACCATCCCTGGGGTGGCTCACTAGAGTTGAACCACCAAGGATGTTGGTTATCCAGCTATCCTGTCAAGGGACGCCATTTCGATCCCCTGAAGGGTTGGCTTAGGATGGCCGATCAGAGGATTAGCCCCGCCTGCGGTTGGGACCACTGCGGGAGTCAGAGGTCATAGGAAGGAGCGAGAAAGCGCTCGTTCGCACAAGGGAGGTAACATCGGTTGATGTTGAAGATCGGGTGAACCCCACCCTCAATGAACTAGCCATTCAGGTGATCCGAACGCAGTTGGAGAGAATGATCGCAGAGGTGGTGGTGGCACATACCTGACCTATCGACACATACCCGACCTGCTCGCGCATCTTTAGAAGCCACGCTGCGACGTGAGCTTGTGGTAACAAGGGGAGGGAAAAAAAATCTGAGTGGTCAATTAACTCGTCCAACACTGCTACGTGGTTAGCCGAGTTCTAACCCTAGGATGTATGGAAGCCCAACTGTTCGAGCTGCAGGAGAAGATTGAGGGACTTCATGTTCTCATGCTTTATGGCCACCCCTTCGCAAATGAGGTGCTTGATTCAGTCTGTCATACAAGTTTAGGGAGCTAAGATTGTTTATAACGGATCCAAAGATCTAGCTCAACACTTGAGGATTTTTTAAAATATGGTCGTGTTGCATAAGTAAAACGACCCGATTTGTTGTCGGGCATTCCTGGCCACGCTAAGGGACCGTCTCAGAACTTGGTTCATCAGCTATCTCTAGGATCCGTTAAGCACTTTGAAGGGTTTAGATTAGTGTTCACTAACCAGTTCTCCAATATGAATAAGCATGAGAAGACTTACTTGACGCTCGTCAACATGAAGTAGCGGGACGTGGAGACTTTGAGGGAATACATAACTAAACATTCTAAGGAGTGCGTGAACATACCATCAACCTCGAAAGAGGTCAAGGTGGGAAGACTGACTAGAGGGCTATGACCTGGTATTTTTAGGAATTATTTATCTAAGAAACCTGCAAGGTCTTATGACAAGTTGTTGGATAGGCGAGCCAAGTATATAAATATGGATGAATAGGAAATTGAGGTCCTTCAGCTCAATGCAGGATGATTGAAGGACAACAAGATAAAAGAGCAACGACGACCTGAGAAGAGAAGGTAGGGTTGAGAGGCAAGCATGGAGACAAGAGGTGTTGAATATTGGGGCAAAGGTTTGACCACTATACACCTATCATGGCTCCTTGTGTTGGAGTATACAGTAAAGAAAACTTTTATGTGAGATTTTAGAATGTGTCTATATGGCTTCCAGTTGACTGAAACGAATGTTTTCGCATTGTTGCACTCTTTATGATTGTTTGTATGCTAAATGTCCAATTATCTTATATTGTAGACAATGTGGTGTGTTATTAGTCACACAGAAGATTGCATTGTCGGTTCCTTATAGGATATAAATGGTATTCACAATTAAGATAGTTATGGACATGACTATCAGTTTAGGTTGTAGTATAAACTGGATGTAGCTTGTCTTGGCTATTGTTTTATACTAGCGTGTTTTGTTGCATTGAAAGGATCACAGATGAGACGTGTTCTTTTTTTCTTACTGTCATGAAGAACCATGGTCTCGGTGGCTCTACTAATTCTTAACTCTAACTGTGATACTTAGATATGTGGAATATTTGTTTGTTACTTTAACTTACCATGGGTGAGAACCAATTACTGGTTCAATATGCTTCGTATCATGGGTAACGACATTATCTGGATGATATCTATTTATTGGCATTAGGACATCGTGTCCTGGTCATCCAGGTTGATGACGTCCCCTTAAGAAACTCATAAGGATTATCGTATCAAGCCCTGCAGGTGGATTTAATCCGTACAATAATAAGGTTGAGTTGTACTACTTAAGGAATAAAAGATACTAATTAACTAAAGCAGTCAGAAGCTTTAATAATTAATGGACGTGCGGTATCTTAAACATAGGGAATTATATTGGGTCTAATAAAAGCTCGGATTCATTTCGGGATAGGACGAGAGTGCTATATTAATTCTTCAGTGGAATGAATTAATATTTATGGTCCAAATTGTGTTCTGGGCTGAACATAATAATTTGGGTCCACAGGGAGCCCAAACCCTATACATTTTAGGAGATCCCTAGTCTGGCCCAAGGACCTCTATAAAAGGAGAGGATTACACGTCTTGAACCCTACGCACGCAACAGAACTTGAGACACTAGAAGACGAGACGTAGTCCACTCCTTGCAATCGTTTGGAGGATCGTAGGCCATCTGGCATCTAAACGTGGTCGGGACACATACTAGAAGATCGCCTCAGATCGAATCGAATCCTCTGTTTCAAGGTACTTTTCTGTCAACACTTTAGGAGCGTTCCTAGGGTGTTGAAAATCATATAATGTATGTGTTTGGTATCCGATATGATCCATGGGATGGACTGCCTCGCCGGCGTGTTCCAGCAGTGAGCTCATCGGTACGAGCTCCTCAGCAGGTACATGTAAAGTTGTTTGTGTTGCTGGCAGTTGATGCATTTCTGAATGAGCTCCCTCACCATTATCCTCATTGTTGGCAAAAAAATCCAGCTCTTAAGACCTTTCTGATCAATGCCTGAGCTTTAACATGGTCCCCACAACAACCTTCATGAATTTCTTATAATACATAATTACCCTCCTCTTTGAAGATGCACCTTAGATGTGGCCCAAAATGACCTCTTATAAAGGATTTCATCTTGAATGAAAAATTGAAAAGATCTTCGGCCTACCTTATCTCTTCGCTATTATTTTTGCTCCACCTCAGTCTGTTCCAACCAACTAATCAGAGAGCTTCTCCAATCCTCCTTCTCATCAACCTCCATGGTTGTCTCCACTATACTTGACCCCATTTGCATCATAGTAACTGAACGACATTTGCATTCCATCAATGAAGCTGCAACTTTTGATAGTAAATCGACCTTGCTATTCTTAGTTCTCGAGATCTGAACGAACTCCAATGGCTCTCCTTTAGATATTAAAATCAAGATTCTAACTCTTGCTCCTGCCTTAGTTGAGGATTTGTCCTCATAAACCTCTCGGTCACCTACCGAGCTCTGCAACATTGTACCCTCCTAGATGAAATTTGCTAATGCTTGCGCCTTTATAGCTCTCTTTGGTTTGAAATCAATGTTGTACTCCTCTAGCTCAACTGCCCATTTTACCATCCTTTCTGAAGCTGACAGTCTTCCTAAGGTCTCTTTCAAAAGAAAATTGCTCATCACCATGACCATGTGTGATAGAAAATAAGGCCTCAACTTCTTAGCTGTGACAATAAGAGCTAGCGCTGCCTTTTCAACCTCTGCATACTTATCCTCTGCTCCTTGCAACAACCTACTCACATAATAAGTAGGTCGCTATAAACCCTCTTCTTCCTTCAGTAGAATTGGGCTAATAGGTAATTTATTCATATATAAGTAAAAATTAGCACATCCATCGTGTTCTGGCGTGGTGAGCAACTGTAACTCGACAAAGAATTCCTTCTGCCTAACAAAAGCCTCATGAGCTTGCATGGACCACTAGAACCTAGACCCCCTCATAAGAACTCAGA